TACCTTTGCTTGTGGCCCCATTGCAGGGCAGACACAAAGCTGTTTGAAGCAGTAGATCCACAAGCAAAGGTCTTTGTCTCATCTATATTTAGAGAACCATAATCTTCCATGTTTCTTGTAAATGACCAGAGTTAAATATAGGGGTTTTTTCATAATGGGAACTACCTAACAGGAATCACGGCTCACCAAATGAGGCAGCAATAGCCAAAGTACTCAAAGCTCTTTACAGTGTTCACAAATCAAGCCACTGTTTTACAGTGAAGAGTATTCCTAGGTTACAGATGTAGTAAGTGAAAGCCCAGATATGCATTCTCCCAAAAGCAAACAGTAAGCTTGTAGCTGAGATGGGAAAATACTGGGCCTCCAGTTTACAATCTTGCTCTTTTGCTACCAGCCCCTTCTTCCAACATTGCCAGAATTCAGGTCAATTCCCTGGATTTTCAAGTCCTGTAGTTTACAGGATTCTGCCTCTACTTCCACAGATATACATAACTGTCTCTAGAAGCAAAAACAGCTTGAAATTTAAACCAGAGTTTTCAGTTGTGAAATGGCTGAATTGTTTCACCTTTGAAAAATTCAACTTCAACATTAGAACTTAATTAAAGGCAAAAAAAAAAAAATCCATCCCAAGCAGTTGTTTAGCTCTCTTAATTGTAACTCTCAAAAATGCATAACGTGGCTCTCAAAGTCACCAGGCCAAAAGTCTCACCTGATGTGAACCTGCATGACTGTGAGAAGCCAACGCTGCCACGGTGATCCACACTCACCAAGTATCAGATCTGCCAAGTACCTTTCAGAGGACCAAGTGAAAGCTTTGGATACAGAAAAATTGCAAAATACACTTCAGGTACTATGACTATGGGTAAGATGTGGACAGAATCTCCTAATATTAGGATATACATGAATGTATATTTGCAGAAATTACTGTTTCATGGACAGCTTCAATGGAAGTGGATGTGCAATCAAAGGACACAGTTAACTGACTGTTTTCTACACAACAGCTCAGTGAACATTCAGTTTAATCTTATTAAATCAGTTCCCAAAAGAATAAAATTAAATGCGTATTTGAATTAAAAATTCTAGAAGTTCAGAAATGTTTGCACTTGGATTAATTTTTTGTACTTACTTCTATTTCTTTTATTGGCCAAATCAATAGATACTAGCTTCCTGAAAATGAGGCTAAATTTTACGTTCCGGTTGATTATTCATAAGTATTTATAAGAGGGATTTGACTTGAAATTTATCTGATTAGCCTCTGAGAACTTGGAGAAAAAGGATAATTAAAGCTTCAACCTGTTTTCATTCACCATGAAAACATAGTTTTGAATGAAAAGTTCATAAATATATAGGCAGCTTCAAGGATGGTGGACAGACTACTCTGCCCTACCTATAAAAATGGTAACAACCATTAACACAAGCCCTGCCTATAAACATGGTACCAACTATTAACACAATTTATTTATGTTTATTTTAAAATCTTAATTAATGGTCTTACTAAACTAAACTAAATCAAATCAAATGTGGGCTCTGTGCACACTGCACATGCCTTGATGCTCTGAATTTGTTTGTACAGCTGTGAAATTCTCAAATTAACTATCTGTCAGGAAAAGTAAAATACTGGCAGGAGAGCATGGAGATGAAATCCAAGCCAGTGGGAGAAAATTACAAAATGGCATCCTGTGACATGAATGACTTTTATGGAATAACTGCTGCTATAATAATAAGTCTGTAATTTCTAGACAGTTGATCATTAGCAGGAGCAGCAGCACAGGTAGTTCCAACAACTTACTACCATACAAATCTTGAGCATTTATTAAGACTGATAGCAGTCCTCTCCTTGTCATTTTATAAGTGTACATGGTTGGATTTATTTATGACTGTAAAAATCTCCAAAAAGAGGAAAAAAGGACTTAAAAAATACATCATATACTCCCACCAGTCTAACACTGCCCTCCCTGTTAAAAAAAATCCATTTTCATTTAAAACTCAAAAGTTTTGTCTGTCTCTAGCAAAGGATCATCAGTGTTCTCAGAATGATCAGGTTTTGAAGCATGGTTTAGCTGCTTAAAAAATTTAAATTCAAATAACTTCTTAGAAGTTTGACTCTTGTGAAAGGATAGAGTTGCCTTTGTCTACTTGCACAACCAGCTGGGCATTCATCCCCAGGAAACAGTAACACACAGAACATAAGACTGACTCTCATACTTTCTAAAGTTCCAACAATTTTCATCTATAGGGACTTCCTCATCTGAGTGGGGTTCCTGTGTATTCAGCCTTCCAAGAAATCTCTCTTCCATCACCTTATTCAGTGTTTACTGGAACCCAGGTAAATTTTAAGAGTCTTTGACAGGAATTGTCCAACTGGTTTGTAAACAATTCCCCCCCTTTTGCTTGTCTGGCTTCTGCTACCTTCATTCAATGTCCCAAAGTCTCTGTGTAGAAACTGAACTTCTACCACACCTTCCTCATTTTGCAGATTCTATCATATGCCTCTTTTTCCACACTCAAGAGTCCTAATCTACTCAGTCACTCATAAAAGACAACTCTATTATCTCCTTCATACATAAAAGTTACAACTGCATTCCCTTCCTCTGCCTCTTAAGAAACTACTTTTGCATTGAACACCATTTAATCTCCTCTTCAGTCTCTTAAAGCTGTATTTCCACATTACATTACCAGTAGTTTCCTATGTATTTTGAAAATGCCCCCAGTGTCCACAAGTGCCTCCACATGACACAAAAAGGAAGTGTTGACATCAACATGCCTTTTAGATTTGGAAAACAAAATATTTTGGGAGGCACAACTCTTTTTTGGTTTCTGCTTTCCCAACGTATTCCACACTCAAAAAGGCAGTTGCTGACCTAGGGGCTTTTCCTGAAATCTGAAGAAAGTTCAGTGTTCCCTAATAAGAAAGGGAATGATACAGTTTAGTTAACAAACAAACTGCAAAACTAAGAGTGACTAGAAACATATTGCACAAGTTAACCCAGAAGCAATAGGGGTTTAGCCTCTGCTATTTTGTAGAGCACTGCATTATGAATTTAAGGAATTATGGCAAACAGCTGATGAGTCAGTGCATGCAGTATTAGCTTTTAATGTCTTCTTACATCTGTTGCTATAGCTGCTAAACTGGCCAGACAGCCCCAAAGAGCCCCAATGAATTCATGATCAGTAGTACATATCAGTCAGAACAGGATATTTCATCTTCCTATCTTTGTTTAAGACAAAACTAAACCTAAAATATTGCACGGAGCTTTTCCATCTAGGAAGATGTTCGCATAAAAAAATAATTAAAAGTTACATATACGGATAGAAAAGTAAGTTATCTATTTGGATAGAAGCTGAACTCAACACAACTCAGCAGCTTCTTCCAGTCATTGGGGCACCTAGGTAAAAGGCCATGTTTCTGTTTTCCTGGGCAGAGAAATGGTCAAATGGCTTCAGAATTTCATATATATTATTAAGAGGGTGCAAAACAATTATTCAGGGGAGGATTGTGGAATTCTTACTGTGCTAAATTTTATACAGTATAATCTTCTCATAAATTTCCTTGGCACCACAAGTCAGATTTTTCAATGTGTAGGCTAGTCCTATTGCCTAAGACTGCTACACAGGGAACTAAAATCTGAAAGGATGAAGAGCTTCCTAATAGTCTGCAATGACACAAATCTATTACTGTGCCATTTCTTTGAATTCTTACTATAATAAGTGTGAAACAATATACATAGAGAAAATAGCAGCAGAACAGATTTTTTTTTAATTGCATTGTCAGTTATACCAGTTTGACAAATAAAAGACCAACAAATCTAAGTAATGACAACACATGTGACTGCACATGTCTAATCATCTTCTAATGTAATTTAGGCTCAAAACCAAATACAAGTAACCTTTCTTTCTGCCTAGCTAGTTCCTAGGCTTAATCAAAAAGACTGCTGTAGGTGTTTTCTCACTTGGAAGCTACCATGACATAGATGAAGACAAGCTGGACCATATTATAAAGAGGAACTCAGAAGTCAACCAGTACCTCTACTAAACAAGCCCTGATTATAATTTGAAATAGGAAACATGACAACTTCTTCTGCAACAACAATTATTAACTTGGAACCAAGAAAAACAACTTATACAGGTGCAACTGGCACAAGGCTGACAGTTCTCAGAACAGCTGGTAAAATTCATGCTGTGCCCTAATTTCTGCTACAGATAAGTTATGAAAACATCAAAGATAGAAGATGCATTATGTTCTTGGGCTCTTTTTTGCCTGCTTTTTATTTGCCTGTTTTAGCTTTCAAGGAAGATGTACCTGGATGCACAAGAAAAATAGAAAGTTTCACAATAAATGTTTTAATGTGTTGACCCTTTAATTCAACTTCTCCCAGAAACAGAATCGCTGCATTCTTGAATCTCTCCCAGTAAGGCTGTCCTATGAAAATAATTTAAAGGAAAGAGAGGTTGCATTCAAGCAAGATCTTAACCTGATCTTTCCAAAACTCTTCAGGATCTTCTCAGTTTCACATTTTCTACATCATTCCTGCACCTTTTTGCTGAAACCTCTTCCAGTACACCAACAGGACCTTCAAACTCGAGGCACCAAAACTAACTATGGAGTTTTATTACTGGCCTCCCTAGAGCTGTTTTCAGAGGAAAAGACACCTCCCACAGCTACTTAATATTCCCCTTGCAAACAAATGCAAGGATCACATTTTATCCTTTAGCTACCACATCCCACTGCTAGATCTTGTTCTGCCTTATCCTCCACATATTACAAGTAGTTTTTTGAGTAACTGCTTTGCACAGTTACTTTAATAATTACCAGATAAGCATTATTTCCCCCACCTTTATACAGTTGTTCTTCTACACAGAGCAATCACCTCCCCGCTCTTTTGCAGAATCTCCACACCTGAAATCTCTTAACGGTGCAAAAAGAAGTTCAGTACCAAACCAGAAAAGTTCAGATACCCCAGATACTGATATTACACACTAGAACGTTGACCAACACTTACTCTGCCAGGCTTGTTTGCATCAAAGCTGTTTTCTTTAAACTTCTCCTGCAGGGTCTCAGCTAACCGGCAAAGCAAGGCTCCGTTATCCAATTTCTCCATAAAGGTTTCTGCTGTTATTTCTCTACCTGGACAGCAAACAGAGAGTTAACATGGCAGAAAGCATGCAATAGTACAGACTGCATTTGTGTGAAAAGATAAAATCAATAGAAACCTCAACAATAATTTGCAATACGCTTTAACTGAAAAACTTGTATTACTTTGAATATTTAGCGAATAACCTCACTACTACTCCACCTGTAGATATACAGAAAATCATGAAAAAAAACCATGCTTTTTTTTTGGGGGGAAGGCATGTGATATTTGAAAAATAATTCTAGCATATCAGACTCCATGTATTTCCCTTTACTTATGGAAATCCAGTGGTTTTAACACAATATTTTAAAAGACAGACTACAGCAGGCAAATGGTTTACACAGTGTGCATGTGTAGCTATAGCATAAGAGTTGCTGACAGTTTATTTTGTAGCAGAAGTAGAAAATCTTGTCAAGAAGGAAAGGACTACATCTTTTCAGAAGACTCTTAAGACTCGGTCCTGCAAGAAGTACACAAGATACTACAGTTACTGCAATGCTCCTATGAAAGTTCTTTCTCAGAAATAAAGTTAGGTACATAAGAAAAAAAAAAAAAGGGAGTGAAATTTCCTGTCATGCATCTAGTTGCCACACGGATTAAAATCTGCACTCCAAGAATGAAGGCAAAATACTCTGATTTCAAAATGTATCAATTACTCTATCATCCTGTATGACACTATTTCAGCTACCACAAACTGTCCTCCTTGCTACAGCAGACCAGACAACCCTACAATACAATGTAATTACACCCCCCTGGAAGAGGAGGTCTCAAATCCCACCATGAGATGTGCATGTTCATCAGACTGGGCAGGCCAGACCAGAAAGAAATCATTTACCATCCTAGACTAAACTTCCAGGATCCTTACATCATTTCCAGGTAAAAATATTCCTATTTCTTATTGAAGGCTTTAAATTTTCACGTTTCTACCGAAAAATGTGCCTTCTCTTTGGAACTTTTTTGACTAGCAGCTGTATTTTTCAGCCCTCTTAACTTCCACTAATATCAAGAGAGCATCAGGGACTAATTCTTTCTCCTTCTATTAAGATAGGATATTTTCCCCCCCAATATTTATATATGTCATTTAGAAACAGGAATAACGCTATTAACTCGTTTTTCATAGATTGTCACACAGCACATGTTAGTAACAATAGTCTACCCTGTCAAAAAATTAAAAAAAAAAGAAAAATATTAAAAAAACTCAAGTTAGAGTGGTTCCCCACCTCATCCAGATCCACTTCTGCTTCCATCAGATGTCTGGAGACTGAAAACTTTATTCTGTTTAGAACAGGTTCACTGCATTTTTTAGTCAAAATAAAACAAAAAATGGAAAAGTAAAAAAGTGAAGTAAAACTTTTCTACATCTTTTGCTCAGAAGAGAGGGAAAAACTCACAAAAATGAAGTAGATAAAAAATTAAAACTGAACTTCTTGCTGGTGCATTGTAATCTGATGCTCAATGTCACAATACTGAATATAGCAGCATTATAAAGTAATTGAAGTTAAACTTATTTTTTCTAAAACATTTTTACTTCAGAAATATCTGTTTAAACATGAAATTTCCCCCTTTTTTATTCCCTCTTAATTCCATCTGCCACATAGCCCACTTCATGGCCCCTGTATACCTAAATGACTTCCCCAGGCAAGAGAGCAGTAGTAGCACTGCAGACATGCAGTTAGCTTATCCCTAACTGATAATATTTTACAGTGTCTCCAGCTCAGATGAAGCCAGGACTGAAATTATAATAGCCCACAGATAAAAAATGGAACATCTCAGCACCTCAAAAGCCTTTGCCACCATTCTAGCCTACATATTTTCCCATTTGCCCCATTAGCCTTTTTATAAAGTGTTATAAAGTCATTAGAAAGCTAAATTTGAAAAAGGACCATGCTACAGGAATCTCTTTCCTCTAAAGAGTATTATATTTTATAATACGCTCCTTTTCTTTTTAAAAAATTTAATTTCAAATATTTTTAACTTACTCAACATTTTTATTTTAGTTTGCAAAATGTAATTTTTCACATGGGTAAAACAGAGAAATCATATTTTACATGTTTCCAGTCCTATGATCCAAAGATTTATTGTTTCATAATAATAAAATGTTATAAAAAACATAAAACCTATTTAGAGACATTTTCTCTTTACACAGACATGGAAAAATTCTTTTATCTTCTTCTGCTATTTAACAATACAGTTATATTATTTCAAGTGCTTTAGCAATTTGGTCACTGCATATTGTGCACCAAGCTGGATTATTTGAGTTCTATTCCCCTTTATGAAATCTGAAAGAATGAATTTTGCATTGAACATCTGTATCCAATGAAAAGAATATTAGGTGTCAGCTTTCAATTCACTGTATTTTATGGCTCCAAAAGGTGGCATTTCTTTGCTAAAACAGACACTCTGACATATTTAACAGTTGAAATATATTGATTCAAATGAGAGTAATGTTCATAACCTGAGGGGGAAAAAAAGGCTCTGTGTATTTGTATGGAAAAAACATTAAACTCCATTAAAAATGTATAACTCCCCCTATAATTACAAGAAAGCAGTTGCAATATTTTTATAGAATGGTAATAACATTAAGTATAATAAAAAAAACAACACTGAAAAGTATGAGAGGGGAAAAAAAAACCACACACACAGGAACACGAAGGCTTTCTGGAACCTCGCAGGCATTGCTTACCCTCTCTTTTACCACAACCACCAGGTGCCCCTGAAAAAGTCAAACTGCTCTACCTCTTGCAAGCTGTGAGCAGCTATCTGTAGGGTCACAGTGCAACCAGACTGGGAGGTTCATGACAGAATAGCTGAAAAGAGACCATGCCCTGGCTGTGTGTCCAAGAGGTCGAAGACAAAGCATTCCCTACGGGCTGCCTCGGACAACCGGAGCCTTCAGCAGAAGGCTGAGGGACTGAAAGACCCAAAGTACCAAAAACCTAGCTGGTTCTTCTCTTATTGCACTCAGTTCTTCTACATTTGC